AATAGGATTGCCGAAGCTTTTGGTGGCGACCAGATTGACCCAGCATACCATATGATTGAGAAAATAGATGCATTAAGTATCAATGCCCTTCTGTATATTGAAGTATACACTGCCGACCAGGCCCCCAATTTTGCCAAAATCTTTGACATTAGGTCCGTTGCCATGGATTGGTGTGTTCCTCCTTCTATTATTTTAATTCCCAGGTATCTGATCGATGCCTGAGTTGTCAGCCACTGCAGGCCCTCCGGGTTATTAGTCGGAGGTATGCTTTCTTGGTCCTGTTCAACGAACCACCACCCCATTGTTTCTTGCCTTAGGTCCGTTGCCATGGATTGGTGTGTTCCTCCTTCTATTATTTTAATTCCCAGGTATCTGATCGATGCCTGAGTTGTCAGCCACTGCAGGCCCTCCGGGTTATTAGTCGGAGGTATGCTTTCTTGGTCCTGTTCAACGAACCACCACCCCATTGTTTCTTGCCAATTAACCTTCATTTCTGACACTAGTTGGAAAGCGTTTATTGCCTTTGTTAGGGCTTCAAACGAGGAGTCGAACACTCTTATGAGCACCGTTAAATCATCCGCGAAAATAATTGTCGTAGGGAGATGTATCATATGGCCTTGTTGATTCGGTGGAACTATCAGTCTCTGGATTGATGGGTCCTTTCGTAGGAAGGAGGCTACTGCTTCCATTATTAAAAGAAATATGGGAGCAACCAGAGGATCCCCTTGTCTAACCGATCCCGACATCGCGTAGGTCGGGGAAAGGTGGCCATTAATCTGAACCTGCCCCTGTGCATCATTATAAAGGACCCTTGTCCACTTCCTAAAGTTCGGACCCACTCCCATCTTTTCCATGCATTGCTGCAGGAATGGCCAACTAACTTGATCGTACGCCTTTTCGAAATCGAAGAATAATATGGCAGCGTTAATTCTCCTATCTTTGATGTAACGGACTGTTTTCGTTAGTGTCATAACATTATCGAGAATAAACCTCCCGGGAATAAATCCCGTTTGATCTATATGAAAACAATTCGCAGTAATGGTTGTTAGGCGATTCGCTAGCGCCTTGGCTACTATCTTGTGTGTGAGGGTTAAAAGGGTTATTGGTCTATAATTGCGTATGTTTGACGGGCTTCCCTTCTTGTATAGTAGCGTAACTATTCCCGAAGCTGACTCCTGACCTATTCCCTCCTTCTGCCACGCTTGCTCTAGGAAGGCCAAGTACTCTTCGCCCAAGATTGGCCAGAACTCCAACCAAAATTCTCTGGTCAGACCATCCTTCCCAGGAGTTTTATTTGGGGCCATATACTTTACTGCTTCCCATAACTCCTCCTGAGTTAGCGGAGCGTCCAATCTCGCTGGCTGAGGCTGCGAGATCGTGGTCTGCAGATGGTTCAGGAACTTTGCCCGTGCTTCTACCACCTGTTGCCTTGGATACTCCCCCTCCCTTGACGTGTATAGATTGCTGTAAAAATCGAAGGCTACCCGAAGCATACCTTCTTTGTCCGAGGTAACTCCCCCTGTTCCTTCTAGTTGAGCTATAAGATTATTTCTTCCTCTGGATTTTATTTTTTGGAAGAAGAATTTAGTCATTCGTTCTCCCTCCTCCCATTCCCTGACTCTAGCCCTCATTTGCAGTCCCCTTGATTTCCATCACTGCCATTCAACCATTTCGTCCCTTGCTGCTTCAAGCGCTCTTTCATAAACGTCGTTGCCTGGAAAATTAATGATGTTGCACTCTGCTAGCTTTATTATTTGCTGCAGCTCTAGCTCTCTTTCCTTTCTTCTGGCCGCCAACCTCCTAGCGACCCCTGTCGAGGCCTTGGACAGAGCTATTAGCAGTTGGGGAAAGGTTTGAGTATGTGAATGTTCTTGACACGCTTGAAACACCGCCTGCCTCATTTCCTGCGTTCTCAACAGTGAGTTATTTAGCTTGTAAAATACCTTACCTCTTTTGACTTGCTTATCTGTTACAAGGTGCAGGTGAATAGGCTTGTGATCTAATCCCGTCCCGTATGGCAAATTCCCTATACTTACAGAGTGTATCATTCCTACTATACCCGGCGTTGTTAGGAACTAATCTATTCTTGACGCCGATACATGTTGGCTGCGATTCCTCTTCAAGTATGTGAATTGCCTTTCCTCTGGGAAATACAGTCTGTAAGGATCAAGAAGGTCTATACTAGTCATCAACCTATGAACTGGCAAGGCCTCCTCAGACAGGCCCTCATCCCAACTTCTGCCTCCTGGTGATAATCTATCTAAGGCAGGGTCCAATGTGGCGTTCCAATCTCCTGCTAATATTAAATGTCTGTCCACCTCCAATATTCCTTGGAAACGGTCTATAGACTCTACCCTCTGTTGAAATGTATTAGGACCGTAAACTGATATCAACGTATAAGGTTCGTCATGAAGCTCGAAGTTGACTTTTACCCATCTCCCTTCCATCTCATCCACCGACACGTTAGTGATGTGTATGTTGCCTGCTGCAGCTGATCTTTTATTTTGGATTACAAACCACCCCTGTAGAATGGTGGCTGACCGCCGGTGCCCACCAAGCCTCCTTTACCCTTTGAAGCCTCTGCATTACCTTGTTCTTTATTTTCTGATGATCTGTTGTTTCCTTGAGGTGAGTTTCTTGTAAACAAATAAAGTCTGGTGGAGAGGAGGTAAACCAGTCCGTGTAATTTAATACATTCTGCCATTTATCTTGGTTTTCCAAAATCCCTACCATCCCATTTACATTCCATGAAGTAATCGTAATCTCTGGCTGCATGAGGTTCCCGTGATCTGTCCTTAGCCTCTTCCTTGGTCTACATGTTCCACCTTCCTCCATGAGCTCCCTATGCTTGCGTCATGTTACTCCCTGACTGCCCCCTAGGTTTATGTACCCTGCACAGTTGTTACCACTATCGTGGACACCAAGGATATTCTTTTTTCTAAGAATTCAGGCTTCCAAGCGAATGTGTCCACCTTAATCGCCACTGCAGCACACCGGGCCACCCATTCTGCTGCGACCTCACCCCCCAGTAGGCCATAGGGAATGGTTTCCACCACCTGCCAAGGCATCCATATCAGCCCCTCCCTGAGTTCCGATTTTGCCTGCATATGTATGAGCAGTGGTCTGAAGTCCGCTGCTGATTCGTCGCCTATTTCCATAGATTCTTCCCTTCTATTCTCTAATAGAAGGGGCTTTGTGTTGGGAAAAAAAATAAAATAATAATAATGCACTGGGGAAGGTACATAGAGACAGTAAATTATATGGAGCCATAACCCTGAGGTTCTGTTTCGAAAGGAGGGGAGGGGAGGGGGGGGGCACCCTGGCCCCAGCAAAAATGCACTGGGGTTAGGGAGTAAGGTACATAGAGACAGTAAATTATATGGAGCCATAACCCTGAGGTTCTGTTTCGAAAGGAGGGGAGGGGAGGGGGGGGGCACCCTGGCCCCAGCAAAAATGCACTGGGGTTAGGGAGTAAGGTACATAGAGACAGTAAATGACATGGGAGTTAGGTGAGGGATGGCAAGGTATCCCAAACAGGTTAAGACAGATAGCATGATAGCTGGGTAAAGGTATATTAAGTAGGAAGTGATGATACAATAGTCTGTGGAGTTTGAAAGGCGGCCTGAAAAACTGCAGGGTAGGCCCCTCCCCCCCCCTGTCTCTCTGAGGATCCTTCTTCTGCGTGTCTGCGTGCTGCTAGGAAGCCTCCCGGCCAGCAGGGTGGGCCCCAGAGAAAGACCATGGTTTTGGGGGGTGGGCCCCCTTTAGCAGGTTCCCCCTTGGTAGACGATCAATGCCACAAGGGTTGGGCTGTTCCCCTTCTCTGATCTAGAGTTTCTGGGCCAATAAGTGCATGATATACACCTCCAAATCCTAAAACAGCAGAAGAAATTAAATGCAAGACCCCAGAGACAAAATAAGGGAATGTATTAATAACTGGGGAAGGTGCATAGAGAGAGTAAATGACATGGGGGCTAGGTAAGAGGAAGGTACATTGAGGGATGGCAAGGTAGCCCAAACAGGTTAAGACAGATAACATGATAGCTGGACAAAGGTAGATTAAGCAGGAAGTGATGATACAATAGTCTGTAGAGTTTGATGGGCGGCCTGAGGAACTGCAGGGAAGGCCCCTCCCCGCGCCCTGTCTCTCTGAGGGTCCCCCTGCTGTGTGTCTGGGTGCTGCTAGGAAGCCTCCCGGCCAGCATGGCAGCCCCCAGACAAAGACCATGGTTTGGGGGGCTGGCCCCCTTTAGCAGGTGCCCCCTTGGTAGACGATCAATGCCACAAACACTAGTCATTTTGCTGTTGCTCATTTTCCTTGCACATGGCCCTGGGATGGGGCACAAATTCAGCAATGGCCAAGATATCTGAAAGGATTCAAAGAAAAAGGGAATTGATGATGGAAGTCTTCATTGTGTTGCTGGAGGAGTAAATGTGAAGGCAGGGTGCTTGCAAGCACGTGTACAATAACTGTTGTTTAGACAGATTGACTATACTGCCATGCGCAATCCCACCAATGCAAGAGCAGTGTTTTGGGATGAACTATACAGGACGTGCATGGCCCTAGTATGACCCAAATTCAGGAATAGCCCATATTGCTGAAAGTAGTTGAAGGAAAAAATAAGCTAATGCTGATGGAAGTCCTCATGTAAAGGACCACTGCATAGTGAAGGCCTGTTCGTGGAACACCCCAAAACAGGATGGAGAAGGGAGACAATGAGACGTAACTGGGAAACAAAATGCATGATCAGGAAGCAAAAGCTCGCCAAAAAGGGAACAGTGAGACACAATTGCGGAGTAAAAGGTCACTGCAAAGCTCACAAAGCGAAAAATGCATGATCAAATTAGACCTCCAACATCCCGCATGTCTTTGGTGCTTATTTTGGGATAACATTTTTGCTGGAGTCATCCCTTACGCCCCTTTCTGTGTGCTGGTCAAGCAACGAGTCATCGCTGGGCTGAGTCAGAGTGTCCATGTTTTTGTTGTCCGTTGGATGCAGGTGATAGCTGTTGGCATCAACACTGAATGGGGGAGAATTATGGCAACTTTGAGTGGTGATACGTCAGAGCAAACGCCTTTGCAGGTCTATTCACCAGCCCATTGATTATAATGCAAATTGCCTCCCAACTATGCAATCAACCTGCTTCTCACCAACAGGCAGCAGCCGAGTGTGAAGCAAGCATTCCATCAGATGGATGCTACACTGGCTGTATGTGATGTAGCAATATGTGTGGCTGAGGTGCACCCACAGCCAGAGCCTGAGAAGAGCTTGGTGATGGAGAGTTCAAGGGTGCCCGGTGTGACTCCTTCAAAATAATACTTTGCACAGGTCAAGTCAGCATTGAATGCAGAATCGCAGATGTATGGTGTGTGGATTCACACTTCTTCGTGGGCTCACCAACAACTGACCCTTGGAAGCCTTCAGCAGTTTCAATCACTTTGGCTGAGAACCTTCTTCTGCGGTTTTCTTCTCCCTTGCTTTTTTTCTTAATTCAATGTCCAGGTTGATGTGGAGGTCGGGTTTAGATTTGGAAGATCCCCTCGGACTCAGTCATCTGGGTGATTTGCTATGCCTTCTGGGCTACCTCCATGGGTTACCACATATTACCTGATCTAATCTTATTGCAAGTCAAGTCCCTGCTAGCGCCTGCAGCTGTTACAGGGCACCAAAGTCAGTCCTCACTGACTACAGTCCACATCGGGCGCTCTTGGCCCCACTCCAGCCAGTTATTTATCCCCCTTCCCAACTTGTAGAACCCTTGAACCACCAGTTCACTACCTGGCACTGTTCATTGCGCGCAGTGAGCTGCGAATGGACCTGGGCTGTTCGGCAGAGGGCCGGTGAAGGCTTGGCTGTCTCAAACTACTTGGCCCATACGGCGGCCTACCGGTTTCAAAGGTGGGGCAGCCACCGAAGTGAAAACACAGGCCTGTTCATTTCTCTCTCTACTGGCCATTCCCGACCTCGGCCAACACACACAGCGAATCTGACAACAGACACACACACCACGTCAGTAAAGAGAAAAACGCAAGGTCACGAACTAAGTCAGAAACTGGCACCACTTTCGACATCCAATGAAAGGGCAGTGAATCTTCCCCTAGAACACGGAAAGATACACTGCCATTGATTTGTGTTCCCTGTACTGGATCGAGGCCCTTTGTTTTGTTTTTTGCCACATGCAGATGCAAGGAAAATAAGCAACAGCGAGATGACAATTCCAGATCACACCATCACATTGAAAGCCAGATAGTCACACCGTGTCCAGAGAGCAGCATTGCACCAATAATACACCAATGGAGGTTCGTAGCACTGAAAACCAATGTTCATGGAGGGCATACTCTCTCCTCTCAACACGAGTCCAGTTCCTTCACGCTCACACTTGGCGCTCAGCGCCCAGCCTACTCCTACACAGCTACTACAGACTACAAAATGACAATGCAACTGTTGACATCAGCAGCAACCCGAAGTACTTGAAGATGTCGCCCATGCAGACCATYGCCAATACAAGGTAAGAGCCCTCACATCATCATCATCATCCTTCACCTATCCCCTGTCTACACCCACACCTGTCCTCTCTTTCACCCGAAGACCACCCCTGCGCTTCACTGTAGTCCAAGCCCACCAGCTATGTTGGCTGGGCTATGGCTCTGCCCTCAGCAGCGCCCTTCTTCCCTGCACGACCGCATGTGCTGCACCTCGCCTCTCAGCGCCAGCCAGCGGCCGCGAGCCTTTGCTCCAGCAGCGCTGCCGCTAGCATGCGAGTGCCTGAATGAGGCAGCCAGGGCAGAGCTCTTTCCTTTATGGAAAGAGTTGGCATGCTCGCGCAGCCTGGCTGCACTGGCCTGGGCCCAGAAACTTCCGGAAGGCCCCAGGAGGCTGCCTGGGTACAGCAGCTACTGGGCTGCTGGGCCTCGTTCAGTTGGGCGCCCAACTGTCTCTGTATGAGGCTGCGAATCACGCCCAGGGCCTGCGTTCTTTGAAAAAGTCCGGAAGGCCGTAGAAATGTCTGTGTTGCCCGGCCTGAGTTTCTCTCAACCAACTGGCCCGTCGCAACTGCTTGGACCCCAAATATGGAATTGACAGTCGAGGGCCTCTTGCGACGTGTCAGGCCCGCCTTCACTTAGGGCGGGCTCCCCCGCCTTCACTTAGGGCGGGCAATGCTGCAAATAGGGCCCCATAGGCCTATCGAGGACCTAGATCCTCGCACATACTTTTTTTTTTTTTTTTTTTTTTNTGCACCTCGCCTCTCAGCGCCAGCCAGCAGCCGCGAGCCTTTGCTCCAGCAGCGCTGCCGCTAGCATGCGAGTGCCTGAATGAGGCAGCCAGGGCCGAGCTCTTTCCTTTATGGAAAGAGTTGGCCTGCTCGCGCAGCCTGGCTGCACTGGCCTGGGCCCAGAAGCTTCCGGAAGGCCCCAGGAGGCTGCCTGGGTACAGCAGCTACTGGGCTGCTGGGCCTCGTTCGGTTGGGCACCCAACTGTCTCTGTATGAGGCTGCGAATCACGGCCAGGGCCTGCATTCTTTGAAAAAGTCCGGAAGGCCGTGGAAATGTCTGTGTTGCCCGGCCTGAGTTTCTCTCAACCAACTGGCGCGTCGCAACTGCCTGGACCCCAAATATGGAATTGACAGTTGAGGGCCTCTTGCGATGTGTCAGGTCCGCCTTCACTTAGGGCGGGCTCCCCCGCCTTCACTTAGGGCGGGCAATGCTGCAAATAGGGCCCCATAGGCCTACCGAGGACCCAGATCCTCGCATTCCTTCCTCCTTTACTTTGTAGGTCCTCTGAGAAGTCTCTTATTCTGCAGGCATTTTCCCTTTGAGTAATCTTTCATAGCCTCAATCACTTGAGGTGCTGTTCTCATGAGTTCTTCTCGTGTGAACCACCGATCTTCTTTAGGATCCAGATGATGTCTGAAGCTCACACGATACTGCATTCTCGGTTTAGGAGGGCGTCCTTTGCCTGATGATCGAGGAACAGGCAGCACTCGGTCCACGATCTGGTCGATGTCCACCTCGCCATCCATGTTTGGGTGCAGCATTGATCTTCTTGAAGGGAACTGCTCTGTAGCAGCGAAAGGTGCCAACTTGGAAGCATGGAACACAGGGTAAGTGCGTAGGTGTGCAGGAATACGAATCACGTATGAAGGCCCATCTGGTTGATCCCCTACAATGTCTAAGATCTCCCAGGGCCCAAAGTACTGTGCATTAGCTTGCGGGATATGCCTAACTCCTGACCTAAGTCATATGACTTTACCCAGACTCTATCTCCTACCTGAAAGTTAGAGGGCCGTCTATGCTTATTCTCAGATGCAATCATTGCTTCCTGAGATTTCCTAATATGCTCAACGGCCTGCTGCAGCATCTGTTCATATTTGACAGCAAATTCTATGCTGCCAGGTGCTGCAGTGGGTTCCCTTTCCGGTAGCAGGAAAACAAGAGCAGTCCGGGGCTTCCAACCAAGATGCAGTGGGTTGGGAGTTATGTCGGGAGTACTATGCACAACGTTATTGTACAGGCTGGCGACGAGAGGTAGTTTCTCGTCCCAGTCATCCTGACTTGGCTTGATATAATGCCTACGTAGGTGTTGTACTACTCGGTTCATTTGCTCAGCTTGGCCATTTGACTCAGGATGATTTCCTGAAGTCATTTGGAGTTTTGTGCCTAACTGCTCAGCAGTAGACTGCCACAGTTCGCTCATGAATCTGACATCCCTGTCACTTACAATAGATGTAGGTAGACTGAATTCTCTTACCCAGTTGTCCATGAAAAGTTTGATGACGAAGTCAGTTCTAGCAGTTTTAGGCATAGCGCTCAGTCTGACGTACTTGGTAAAACGGTCCACTATGACAAAGATGTGTCTCTTTCCTGACCTGCTGGTCACAAGGGTATCCATGAAATCCATGGACACACTTTGGCCTGGTCCTCCAGGGATCGGCAAGGGTTTAATCAACCCAAGCGTAGCCTGAGTCCTTGGTTTGTCCCTTTGACAAACTTGGCAGGTTTCAACATAACGTTTCGCATCTTCCAACATAGAAGGCCACCAGAATCTTTGTACTAAATTCGCTGATGTCTTTCTATAGCCAAAATGACCAGTTGCGTCATGACATTCTCCTAAAAATAAACTACGCAAAGACTCACTATTTGCGACACACAGTCTTTTATTCCCTGCCTTCTCGAGAAACAGCAAGCCATCTACCATCGTAAATTCGTCCAAAGTCCTTTTGTCCTTTGCTTGGAATCTACGGATGATCTCTGACATAACTGGATCTCCCTGATAGGCTTCCACCAGCGATCGAGTGAGTTCGTCAGATATGCCAAACTCAGTGACTAGTGCACCCAGATAATTTGCCCTTCTTGATAGCGCATCAGCCACTTTGTTGTACGTACCCTTGATAGGATCAAGTTGATAGTCATACATGTCTATCACTTGAATCCATCTCTTGAGTGCGTCCGACAACACAGGCTGTGTCTTCATCCAACGCAAAGTCTCATGGTCAGACCTCATATAGAAGAATCTTCCTAGGAGGTAATGTCTCCAATGAACTAGTGCTTTGTACAGGGCGTAGAGCTCTCTCTCATATGGGGGCTTAGCTAACTTTTGAGAAGGCATCCTTTTACTCATGTACTCGACCGGTCTCAACTTTGGCCCCTCCTGTTGCGCAAGGACCGCGCCTATGCCATATTGCCTGGCGTCTGTGGTCAGAACAAACGGTTTGTCAGGATCAGGAAGTTTGAGAACTTCATAGTGTGTTAGAGCATACTTCAATTTCTTGAAGCTTGCCTCACACTCTTTAGTCCATTCCAAGGGGTGTCAAGTCGAGTTAGATCTGTTAATGGAGAGGCTACTGTACTTTATTTTTTGACGAAAGGACGATAATAGTCTGTCATCCCCCAAAACGATCTGACCTCAGTAATGGTCTGAGGTCTAGGCCAGTCACGTTTGCGGGCCACCTTTGCATCTTCCGGCCTCAACCCAGCTGCTGAAATTTCATGACCCAGATACAAGATCTTGGTGCGACCGAACTCGCATTTCTCCAAGTTAATCTTGTACTGGTGCTGTCTTAGGAGACCTAGCACTGTATTTAA